CTGCAGAAACAGACCTATTATTTTCGCAAACAGACATTAACAAAAAAAAACGAAAAAGAATAGCAACATCATCATTTGGATTTTCCACATCACTCATTGCCTAAACCGTTGATTGCCTAAACCTAATGAATGTCTATACAGGGTGTCCCAGGGAAAACAGTTCACCCCGATTTATTGGATTTGGGATGAGAATCTGGAAAAACGCTCGGACACGTCGATATTTGATTTGAGGGGGAACTATTTTTCAGTTTATTTTATCCCCGTAGTTTCAACCCCCTAGCTAGGGGGAAAACAACCCCCCAATTTTGAATAGGGGATAGAGGTCATGTTATATCTCTTTTTAAAGGTCTCATCGAGTTCTTTATGCCCCTAGAATTTCGTCTCATTATTTTCATCCGTAACGACATGACAGCTTGTCAAAATCTTGGAAATAGACTATTAGTTTTAGTGGGAGCAAAAGCGATACTTACCTCCCTCAATAAAAATACTTGAAATGAAGTTTTTTCTCATTTTTATCAATGAGGTGTACACGAGAATTGTAAATTGTAGGTAGTTTTACTTGTTTTTTTATTAAGGGAGGTAAGTATACCGCGTTTACTCCTACTAAAACATAGTCAATTTCCAAGATTTTGATAAGCTGTCATTTCGTCACGGATAAAAATAATAAGATGAAATTCTAGGGCCATAAATAACTTGATGAGACCTTTAAAAAGAGGTATGACACGACCCCTATCCCCTATTCAAATTTGGGGGGTCGTTCTCCTTCTAGCTAGGAGGTTGATGAAAAAAAAAATATCGACAAACTCTATAAAAATAGGGTTTTTATTGTTTTTGTTTTTAGTGCCTTCCAATTTTAAAGGCCGGCATTAAATTTGAAAAGTTTCGTCAGTCGGATTTCTCTAATAGGCCAATATAGTCATCGCAAAATAGTTTATTAAGTGTCGGTTTGAAAGTCCCAACATTGGCTCTATTGTATCAACAGTGTATGGTGCAGAGATGTCTTTATCTAGTTTCCAATGTAGGATATCGTATTACATTATTATATGGACCAATATAGTCATCGTAAGAGTTTATTGAATGTCTATTTTTCTAACCAATTAACGATTAAGCCTATTGTATACCTATACCACCATGCGGTGTTGATATATCTTTATATCTATATTTAGTTTCCACCATTGTCCTATTTTGAGCCAATGTGATCATATGCCTACGGGATCACTTTCCGGCTGCCATTTTTTTATTTGTCCATCAATATCAACCCTACCAAACTTGGTAGGGTTGATATTTTAACCATTCGCCATTTTTATGCATTTATGACAAGTTTTCCTGACTTACGGTTTCACCGGAAATGACCGGAACTTTTGATTTTTGAATGGCACACCCTGTAAGATCGTTTTACGTCTTGATTCACCACTTTTGAATCGAGTTTTGTCCAAATTTTGTTTTTAAATTGAATTTTAATTTTTTAACTAGAGTGCCATGATCATCCTAAAATGACTCTACATACTTAATTTTAGAAAAATACAAATTTTCTACTTAAAATTTAATTTGAAAACGAAATTTGGACAAATCTCGATTTAAAAGTGGTACATTAGGACGTAAAACGATTTGTAGAATCCAAAAAAACAAAAAATATACAGAGTATGCCATTTGAAAATCAAAAGTTTCGGTCATTTCCGGTGAAACCACAGCCGGAAATAATCTCGTGGGCACCCGGTATGGTATTGATATCTCTTTAACTTGTTTCCAATGTTGGGCCAATCTGCTTGTCCTATTATCACATTAATATGGACCAATACAGTCCTCGCAATAGAGTCTATTGATTATCTGTTTGCAAGTTCTAAAATTGGCTTTATAGCATAAACCACCACATTGTGTTGATGTCTACATTAGGTTTCCAACATTGCACCGATCCTTTTTTCCTATTATGGGCCAATATTTTAATCGCCTATACTTTCTATTTGGAGGTCCCTATTGAATACACAGCATATGTTGTTGATATTTTTTCATCTAGTTTTTACCATTGGGCCGAGCATCTTGCCTCATCATGGGCCAATATAGTAGTCATCGCCAGACAGTCTATATTTTGACTTCTTGAAATTTCCAACTATAGGCTCACGGGTGAAACAACATACAATGTAGCTATGTTTATTGCTAGTTTTCGACATTGGACGTAACTCCTTATCCTATTGTGTGCCACTAATGTCCAATATAATTTCTCATCATAGAATATACTGTTGGGAGAATACAGGCACAAATATCGTTTTTTTTTTAACAAGGGACTAGAATACGCCTATTGTCATATCCAATCTATTGGAACGAACGATTGAGCCTATTAAGTCCCAATGGTTTCATCGGCGGAGCATTGGCAATTCCTACATAGGCTGCTAGCTGAGGTTTGAATATTAGGTGTATGTGTACCTAATATAAATTTAAAAAAAAAAGAAAAAAAAAAATAGTGATGAAACAATTATTTTTGATGAAAGCATATCAATGCCTATCAATTGATATTGTTTCTTTTCGTTTTTATTCTTGATTTTATTTTATTTTAACTTTTATCTACCTTTTTTAAAGCGATAACGTTTTTCCATATTCCGTTCATTAAACGTAATCGTAATGATTATTAGAGCCCATTTTACAATGGACGTAACGTAACCCTAAAAACATACCATAAGTCCCAAGCATGCGAACATTAGAGTTATTTGCGTCAAATATGTCACCAGAAACGCAACGTAAGAGATGAGAGCTGGTCATCTCTTACGTTGCGTTTCCGGTGACATATTTGACGCAAATAATTCTAATGTGCGCATGCTTAGGACTTATGGTACGTCTTCACGGTTACGTTACGTCCATTGTAAATTGGGCTTAACTGAATAATCGTAACCGTAATCGTATAACTTTAATCGTTTCATCACTAAAAAAATTTAAAAAAAAATTAACATATCTAAAGAAGTCCAACTAAACAACAAAATATGTGGTGGATGCTCGGACAAGTTGGACCCATTGTACGAGTTTAGGAACACCTCTTTAGAGTCAGAAAATACTTTATTGTCCTGGGTTGCCCTGGTGGGCCATAAAGACGACGACCAAACAATCAATGCTTTAGCAGAGCAAATAGCCAACACCATAGAGAATTTAATCGAAGAATAAATTGGCACTGACGATGAAGAACGTTCTTATTTCGCTTGATCAACGCTCTTCTAATGCTAAGTTTCAGGTGGTTGAAGAAAAAGAAGCTGAGGAGCCACCTGCAAAAACCGGCCGCGTCGCTCCGCTGCCATAAATACAAAATAGGAGATTTTGAACGTAAGTAAAATTGCATTTGAATTTATATTCTTAAAGTGGATAACATTTTCCATTACAAAAATGGTATAGATACAAACTCAAATGAAGATGAAATGTCTTTTGCACTCGTCAGTTTCATCTTCTAGTTTTGCAATGGCTTTATCCTTGTTAATCTCGTCGCTTCCATTAGTTCCATTTTCTAATTTTTGTAAACTTTGGCTTCAGCATCCAATGTATCGGCTTCATCCACGATTTGTTTCTCATCGCCGTCATTCACGGGCGATACTTATCAGAGTTTTTATGGCAACAGAGCGACGCGGCCGTTTTGCAGGTGGCTCCTCAACTTCTCGTTCTTCAACTTTGGCTTCAGCATCCAATGTATCGGGTTCATCCACCATTTGTTTCTCATCGCCGTCATCCCTAAATTCACGGGTGATACTTATCAGAGCTTTTATGGCAACAGAGCGATGTGGCCGTTTCTTAGGTGGCTCCTCAACTTCTCGTTCTTCAACTTCCTGAAACTTGTCATTGGAATAGTGTTGAGCAACATCCAAATGAGGAGGTTCTTCCTCAGTGTCAATTTGTTCCTTAATTAAAGACTCCATCGGGTTGGCAATTTGCTCTTTCGTCGTTTTTGTGGCCCGCCTGGGCAAGCCAAGACAGTAAAATCTTTTCTGACTCTAGGGAGGTGTCTCGTAGCTCATACAACAGGTCCAACTTGTCTGAGCCTCCGTCACTGATTTTCCGAGTAGATGGTCCTATTTAGATATCTCCCCTCTAGGGGAATCAGCACCTTGTCGTCGGTGAGAGGGCTCAGTAACCTTGTATCCAGGGAGCGATGCCGGCGGTAGCGTAGCCACCCAAGCCGGCAAGCTCCTACATTTCTTACAAGGTGAAGCTAAGAAGATTCCCACGCAGCGTCTGACCCAGATTGGGCTTAAATGCCAAAAACCTCAAAACCTCCAAAAGGTGAATTTTATAAAACAGTAACAGAAATATTTTTATTAATGGCTCTGTAGGAAGAAGGTTAAATACACTTAAATAAGTTTGAGATGCAAATATAAAAATTTCATTGCATATATAGTTTTACTTTTTATATAAATTTCACTTCAAAAAGCTACACTGGGAATCACCCAGTTTATACAAATACTTTTAGCTCCATAACTAATATTTCAATAGAAAGGTGCTTTTATGTTCATTGTTCACTAAAAAACAGGACTCTCTCATGATTTTCCTACTCTATTTCCCTGCATTTAAACTCCATTGTTGATTGTGGTTTTGGAAGCTAAAAATCAATTGAATTTCTTTCTGCTTTCTTATTGAAACAAAAATATTGGAAAAAAATCAAATCAAAAGTTTTTCCAACCTATTCATTTAGGCATTTTTCATAATTTTTCGCATTCCCTAAAGTAGTAGTATTAAATTGTGAAAATATTTATTTACGTTTATTTATTCTGTAATAATCTCTCTAAAACCAAACTGTGATGAGTTGATGAATTTTTTTATATTATGTAAATTACCTTACAATCTGCCAAGGTAATGTGAATTGTTTTAATTTTTTTTTTCTTATTTTTGATCTGTTTTCTTCATATACCAAAATAGATTGTTTTAGTTTTTAGTTGGTACCTACTTTAATTTGTTTGTGTAGTTAAGTTAGTTTCACAAATGAATTTTTTCATGGGTGGGAACAAAAACGAAGGTGAATATTTTTATATAAATGTATATGGATATTGATATAATGTTTTATATATACAAATCATGTTACAAATACTTTAAAATAAAGTTTTACTAGAATACATCACGTGTTTTATTTTATTGGTTTATACAAAAATTAAGTTAAATACATATAACTATAACTACACTATATTTATGGCGGGTATTATAAAACTGCTTTGACAGTTAACTTAAAGTTAACTTCTTCCTCCTCATGTAATTCCAGAAGTTAACTTTTAGTTAACTGTCAAAGTAGTTTTATAATACCCGCCCTTAGAGACTTGCTTTTACTCTTAACATTTTCTATAAAAATGGAGAACAAATGATTTATTTTGACTTGAGATAATTTTCTGAAAATGCTAGTAATCTATATCGTTGTTTTAAATTTCGCGCCCGGACATGGAAGTTGGCTATTTCGACTGTGTGATTGGCCGGGAACCACCCGGTTTGACCATCTCGTATTCTTTCACCATGGTACCAACCTGCAAAACAATATAAAAAATCCTAAAAATCCGATTTTCTACTCTATTAGAGGAATATAATCTCATCTGCTTACCATCCGCCATTTTTCTCAAAACATTAATCACATCGCCCTTTGTAAGGGCCAATTCATCAGGTTGACTAGCTGCATAACTGTGAATGGCGGTCACTTGTGGACAGTCCCAGCATTCATACAAGGTTTCTTCTGGATCTTCAGATTTTGGAGGCGTTAGAGCTTCATTCCATCGTTCTTTATCGCTTTCAGAGCTACAGGACAACAACTACACACACACAAACAAATCAATTTTCACTGAAATAAGACTTAACACAAATAGCTACTTACATATTCAATAGTTTTTCCGTCCTGATTCTCTAAAACGGTCAAAAATATCAAATTTTTATTCTGTGCCTCCTTGGTAGTTACTGTAAGCATCACCTCTGAAGTGCTTAATTCCACAAGGTTCCTTGGACAATATTGTTGCACTACGTAGTTTTTTTCGCTTTTTTCCTTGGCCACCAGGAACAAATCATTAAACAAAAAAATATGTATGTTATTTTTAATGAACCTCTTTCCAAATGTAAGTTTATTATCTTCATTTCTTGATTGCATGTGTACTACTGGACCACATCTGATTAACCATCGATCGGGGCTAATAATGGGAATTTTAGGGACTGACTGAGGGAATTCTAATTGTTTGGCTAATTTGAGAAGTTCGGTCTCGCGTTCTTTTTGACGGGCTGCTTCGTTGCATTGGCTTACAATCTGGAAATAATTATTTGATAATTTTGCAACTATTTTTACAAAAGTTACACCTACCTTATTTACAGTGGCCAAAGCAAACTGACAAGCATAATATTCTTGATCTTGCTGGGGTAATCTTTTTAATACTGCGTCAACTAGAAGGGGCCACCTGGTTATACGTTGCATAGGCAACATTAAAAATGAGTAGAGTGACAAAGATTGACAGGCTTCACTCATCTCCAAATGTTTTAGAAATTCTGTAAAACCAAGACGTTCTCTAAAAACAAATAATGAATCAAATTTCTTGCCGCAAATTGGAATTTCAAATCTTACCTAAGGTTTTTTAAAGTGTCATCAAAGAGCATCTGGTTTTCACAATAAGGTATGTAAACATTGAAGTTCTCTTCAGCGTGCTTTTGTATAATATCGCATATACCATGTAACAAAATGTTGTCTTGCCAACATTTCTCGAGATCGTGTAGTAATTTTTCTGAAGAGGTACGAACTAAAATTTGAAAACGTTAATAAAGATTTATTTCAACAAATAGGACAATACTACCTTCTTCTACATGGCCGAATAAAACATCCCTTTCTTCTTTAGCAAGTATGTTGTTACTACTGAAACTTTGAACAAAATGATTGTTCAATACGTTTAGAGAGTTAAGGTAGGAAGCTTCAGAAGTTAGAATCTCGAACTTGGCTTCTTGAAGTTTTTTCTGGTGAGCGCTAAGAGTACCTGAAAAAAATATGATTTGATAATTGATTTTTTTTTTTTTTGAGAATCTGAGAATCTAACATGCAATTTTTGCAGGCGTGGACGGAGAACTACATCTAAATATTGTGTCGTTTGCCTTGTTGTGGTTTATGCTTACACCACTGTTTGTATTTCTCTTACAAGAAACCATTCTATCTGGTGATAAGTATTGTTTATTTTGTTTTATCCAAAAATTGGTTTTGTTGATTTTTACTGGCCCACCCTGTCTATTCTAGCCAAACCAAAAATAATTTGAACCTAATCTACTCACTTAATACTGATGAATTAATAACTTCTGGAATATCGCACCAAAGCGTTTTAGTAAAGCAGATAGAATTCCTGTTAGGTGTCACCAATTCCATAGCCGAGGGTCGAATTTTTATTACATTATTTGTGGGCTTCTTTTCATATACATCTTCGTAATTGTCAGAATCAAAATCTGATGATGTATCTCCATAGCTGATGGACTATACACAAATGCCAATTATTAATTTTGTTGAACAAATTTAACATACAATCAGAGCCAAACAGAGAGTTGGCTTTGAAACAGTTGAAATTCTATTTACATACCTCTAAAACAGCAGCATCGTAAAATTGATATAAAGGTTCATCTTGAAGCCTCAATTGTATTTCTTGCTTCAGTGATTCATCTTTTTTTGTTTCAACACTATTATAACTATTCACGCTTTCTGTATAATAAGGATTTTCGTTTTTCATATTATTAAAGTGCACATTGTCATCTTGATTTATGAAATCTGAGGGTTTCAGTACTGGCCTTGGTATTTCGAAAGCTGGAAAGGATAAAAAATAATAATTAGGGTGTGATTCGACATTATTTATGTTGATGTAATTTACGTTTTATTGGCGTACTCAAATTACTGCCACTATTTTCCGTTGAACTAGTACTCGGTGTGGAATTACCCTGTGCTTGATAGAGCCCCACTTCTGCGTACCAAAACGTATTTGGTCTTTTCCCAACTGCATTTTCGTTGTTTCTGAACACCCCTGAATCTGTGTACCAAGAAGCTGCCTTACCATCTTGTCTGTTTGATTTTTGTAAATCTGAAAACAATAACCATAGGTACCTACATGACAAGCTTCTGAAAATGTTTGTCGCAAAATCTAATATTTACCTGATTGAGCTATTGGAGCTGGTGGTGGTGGACTTTTAGGTCTCATTAAAGGTGATCTTGAGTGCCGCAATACCGGGGATAAAGATTTATCAGAATATTCACTTGGCCCTTCTCCACTATCAACATCGATAGTTTCAGTTAAATAGAAAGTACTTTTAGTCTTGCTCCCTCCATTTAGATTCGAGGTTAATTCATTAGCTGATTCGGTTGACAATGACATGCTTCTCCTAAATTTATTCAGAAATCCACCTTTATTGCGTAAAAGTGTTTTGGACCTTTCCTGATCTTCTGAGGAATGAGATTCAGCTGTTGAGGGGGTTTTAAAAGTCTCCACGCTACTTGCAGAATAAGCGGATTGTTTTAAAATGGAGTTTTGGGTTTCAACATTTTCGTAGGTTGGTTTGGTTTTCGGATCTGGATCAGTCTTTGACATATGTTTTTTCATGCGAGTGAGTGATTTGGTAATATTCATGGTAAGGTTCCTAGATATTTTTTTCATATTTTTCTCGGCGAATTTCATTAGCCGATAACTTTGGTTGTTCGGTGGTTCTGGCAGTCTGTTGTTTCCCATATCTATGCCACTATCGTCCTAAAACAATTATTTAATTAAAATCAAATTTTACGTTTACGTTTAATTTCAATTTAATTTCATTTATTCACTTTATTTCTTCGATCAGCCAGTCTTACAATATTTTAGGGTGGCAATTGGCCAAAAATCGAATACTTGAACAGAAGCTCTTGTCCTCCTAAATAATCAGCAAATTTCAAACTTACCACAATTCGAATTTTATCAAACGAAGTATCTGAATCCGTATCACTTTCAAAGGAGTCATAGTCAAAGTCTTCGTCTTCTTTCGCAGTGTACAGGCTTTCATAATGGTGATCGTTTTCATTGCCTGAAACAAAAATAATTCAGTTTAGCGATTAGGGAATAGATATATTTGAAACTTATGGCTGCATGTACCTCTCAAAACAATAAAGTTTTTACCTAAATAAAACGATATTTCCTGGCTCTCTAAACTCTCCTCAAAAATTCTATTCCTAATTTTAGGAACATCCTTTTTTTTTCTTATTTCCTCTTCTTTTTCATCAAAAGATTCCTCAATTTCGCTCACCTCCACTATACGGTCGGTATTTAGCAGCATCTTTTGTATTTCTTTGGCGTTGTTATCTTGGCACTCTAATAGCACCTTTGAGGCAGATGATACAAAAACAGTATCACCTACGTTCCTTCGAGGTTTTCTAATTGTGGAGGGTGCTGATCTTGGTGGTGGTACCGGAGCCGACAACGGGGTGAAGAATTTTGAATTTGAAGAATCATATCGACGCGATTTTCGGATTGATGCCGAGGAAATTGACCGTCTGTGACGGTTCGATTCATTTGCATACATTATTCATTTTATTATGTATCTTTCCTTTTATTTATCTTCTAATAATTCCAAACAATTATTTAAATTTTTGTTGTATTTTAGCATTGCATGGTTGTTTAATACATTTTCTATCATGATGATATAAATTGAATATTTAAATGTGAGTCACACTAGGCAAGTTTCTAATGATATGCATTTAAATGTTCCCATTAATTTATTCTAGTCTCTAGCAATGTTTATATAAACCCCATGACATAAGCAGCTATTTTATAATTTAATGTGGCGTTTATGCTATGCAGGTTTGAACGAAGAAAATTGAAAGAATAGCACACTTTTAGCAAGGTCAAACGTCCTGTTATGTCATCGATAGGTACCTGCCCAAAATATTAAAAAATTACAAATGGAGATAATAATTATGTATGAATTAGCTTTGTAAATTTCAATAAAAATGTAGCACTTCAACTTTGCATGGAAAAATTAGCCATTATTCGAAATATTTTTTTTTAAACAAAAATGTAACCTAAACCCGAAAAAATAAATTTCGAAATCAAAATTGTTACTTATGTACCTACTTGATGAAAGAGGAGAGGATTGAAAATTATTGTTGCAGCTTTCAGAACAATACGATTTCTGGATATTTGATATACAAAATAATTTTTCTGGGAGTTTGATTGACGTTCTAATTTAGTTCCAAGTGTATTACGTTTTGACTAGGCTTGGAAAATGATGAGGAGGACATTAGCCAATTTTTCTTTTGTTCTTTTTCACATAGGTACTTATCTATTATTTGTTTGTTTGTTTTCAAATTTTGTTATTGAAATGGCTGTTTCATTATAAGTATAATTTAATTAGATGAAAAATAAACTTTTTTCGTTTTGCAAAATAATTTTACATGAATACTCAACAATTTGACCCCTTTTACCCTTCTTCTTTTACGCTGTCTTGTGATTTTTTTTTCAGGGTAGGACACAAAATTGACTAGGCAATGTGGAAAACCAATAGCCGATATAGGTTGAAGTGTCGAAGAAATAAATGTTTATCAAACAATAATAATACATTACTGATAAATTTAAATAGGTACCTAAATCACACTTTCTGGGATAAAGGCAGCCATGGACACTGAAGGTTAAAAATGTATTACATAGTTGATGCTTCAATTCAAACAAAAAATCATATGCCATATGAAAATAGTAGAGCATAACGTAATAAAATTCATAGTTTTTTTACTTTCAGTTTTGTTAAATTGTTCAAGGAACTAATTTTCTCTTTCATTGTTTTATATGTTTTTATAATAATATGTATTTTTAATTAACTTCAAGTAAATTATTCTTCAACTTAACTATTAAACAAAATCAAGAAGAAACTGTTTTCTAACAAGCTCCGACGAAGTGATTCCTTGTTGAAATATTCATACATATCTACAGTTGAGATGAGCAAAATATAGTTATTTGACTAACTAGAACCAAAATGTTTATTTGAATTTAAATTTCGCTAGTTCTGGTTAAGTAACTATATTTTATAACTCGTTATCAACTTTTAATAATTAGCAGGGCACCTACTGTATGTTAATGAATCGTTACAAATATTCATCCATTGCCAAGGTAGGAACTTTCGCTTTATGTGTTATGGGAGAAGAAATTGAAATGAAAGGAAAAAGTATAGTGACATTAAGTTTTATTACTTGCAATAACTAACTAATATCAATGACATCAAATTTGGATAAATAAAATGGTGTATCCAATTTGCTCGAACATGAACAGGCTGGATTTTAAGCAGAATATCATAGAAATATGAATATTATCATTAACAATTTTATCTCAGTTGAGTGCATTAGCAAATTTATAGGACGGACGAGCTAGTAATATTTTATTCAAAAACCTTATTGTTTATAATTTTCGATATTAGAAAATTCCAAACTTTTTTCTCAAAACATGCACAACCAGTAGATAGCAGTCAGCAAATAAAGTAATGTCCCGAATTAAAAATTTGCTGGCCTCTTAAACAGAAACCTCTAAACATGATTTTGGTAATTATCTACATCTGATAAGTGGATTTACCAACCATAGAGATAATGACAATCAAAGAATTAGGTACATAATTATTCTTTACAGTTTTTTTTCATGGTTATAGTTATAGATAATTAGAGACATTACTTCATTGGCTAACTGAAGCTATACAGGGTGTAAAAAAAAAATAGTGTACCCAGACTTCGAAGAGTGATACTACATATGAAAATAGAAAAAAAAGTTTCTGCGAACATATTATGCCCTAAGATGCTTCCTGACGAAGATACAGCCCTTCAAATGGTAGATAAAAATAATAGATTTTATTTATTTTTAAAAACAGTGCGGCAAACTATTTTCCTTGAAATTTGGTATTCTCGCATACATTTCGCCAAAGCGAATGGTGAAAGGGTAGGTAGTTTCCATAAGGGTAGAGGGTAGTTACTAACAAAACGAAAAAGTTCTACCTTTCGACGCTGAACTTATAACGTGGAATTTCTTGATAAAATTGCATAAGTAGGGACCCAATCAAATGGTCAATTCAAATGGGTCATGAAAGTTGGAACAACTCGTTTCAGAAATGCAAGGTCTGTTTCAAACATTCTATGTTTAAACATAACAATTTTGTGTAGCTACTATTTAAATTCAATTTTCAACCAACGACAAAAGGTCAATTTACTTGTACTATAACTCAGCCTAAAATAGAATCTATATATATCTAGGAAATAAAAGAATACGTCCCTCCAGAGGAATTGAGCCTCACTGCGATCGATCCAGCTTCCCACTCGCCCACCGTGTTTCTAAAATATTGGTTTATTAACAAAAACTGTTGAGACCTTCTTTATTCATATTTTTCTCTACAACTTTTTTTGTTTATTATTACCGCATTTCCAGTTATACATAACGCTAAGCTTTGGCGAGATAACTAGTGAGTTAGTTTGAGCTAATTCAGACAATAAACAAGAAGAGGAAGTCCAAAGACAGAAAGAAAAACAAGAAGAAATTTGACTGGATTGAAATACTTCTACACAACAGGGGATCAGAAAAAAAACAAGAAGAAAGCCCGGAGATCTAAAAAAAAACCAAGAACATGACCGGCTTCAGGTGAGTTTCAAATATCAGCGAGAATTGATTCAAACCTTCATCTCCGACGAATAAACCGGACCAGAAAACTCTAGAATGGCAAGATTTAATAAATTCAAGAATGCAATCGTAGAAGTCCGAGAAGAAGCTGACATTGTTGAAACTTGAAACTGTTCGGCAAGAAGTTGGAACTGTTTATCGGGAAGTTGGAACTCTCCGCCTAGAAATGGATAAGTGTTCAGAACAAAATTTAAAAAATGAAATGTGACTTGAGATTAGGAAATGTCTCAGCTGCGACTGCAACCGGTATTAAAGGTAAATCACCTCCATATGATGCTCAGATATCCGTAGGCGATGTTCAGGTGTCATTTGTAACAATGGCTAATCATTGAAGCTCGGATGACATGGATACATAGGCTTGTTTATAGCATAGCGTAGCCCTTCCTTGAGACCTATGGGAAACTTCCTCGCCAGCTTCCCAACAAAACTATGGAATGATTGTTGACACGATTCACCATATTAGTTAGGTTAGAATCGCAAATTGGCGCGGGTTCCTAGTTCAAAAATTTATACATTGATGTCTTATGGGGACTCAATTTTGAAAGCATCTGTAGACCTGATAGAACGTTTGTTAGGGAAGTGAGTTGTATAAATAGTTTTTCAATATGTTAATTAACTGAGAGAGTGTTTGAAAGTTGAATAAACATTGTTAAAATAAAAATATAACCAATTTAAGAAGCCGATGTTTGTATAAAATACGTATATGTCGTTGCTTGATCCATAAGTTTATATATGGGTACCTATAATTATATTAAAAGAAAAGTGTACCTACATACTTGGTTAGTAGATGTACTTCAATAATCCAAAAAAATGGAAAAACAAATTACTGAACTAGTGATAAATAAATAAATAAACGATTCACCAACAATCATAACACAACACACAACCTCACTTTCTTACAGCTGGTTTTTGACCCGACGTACGTCCACCGAAAACAGACACTTTTAATTAAAATCATTTGTATTTTCAATTCATAGGTCTAAAAAAACAATTAGAGCATGAATTATAGAGAAATATGTTCAAAGTTTGACGTATAATATGTTAAAATACTAAGAAATGCCCAGAACCCAAGATATTCCCGTCTGAAAATCACTCTTTTGAATCCCCCATAAGAAATACATTGCTGTCAAATTTGTTGAAAAGTGTTTAGGAACCCATTTTAAATTTCGCGCCCGATTTTTCCTAACCTAACTAATATGGTGAATTAATTTTTAAATAAAAAAATGTCGTTGATAGAGCTATAAGAAATATAGCTTACAGCACAGCTTTTCCATCTTTTGCTTCACATTCATTATCAATGTAAACAATTAGTGTTGTTGCAATTATGATAAGCTAATGACCAATACAACCATAATCGAAAGGTAGAGCTACTAGAGTTAG